CCTGGCCGTTCGCGAGAGATCCTTCTGACTTCAGCACCTTCGCCGTGAAGCTTGACGGCGCGCTCTAGAGCCGCAGATGGCATCATTTACCAACATTTGCATCACCGGCGTAGTTCGGAGGTCTGGGCACCGCACCGCGTGTTCCCAAGCTGTCAAGGGAAGCCCTCCCGCTCTGCTGAGTCTGCTCCTGCGCTGCTCCATTTATCTCGCAAGAACTGCGGTTACCAAATTAGAATTCCATCTCTCTGCCGCCCCCAGGGATATCCTCTACACCGAACTCATCCTTTCTCTTATTAGCCCACACCTGTTGTTCATCGCCGCCCAGCAGCCTCCCGAGTCTACGCACCCTCGACCGCCGGCCGGTGGCGCCAGCAATCTGCTGCTGCCGCTGCCTCATCCCGCGTGTGCGCAGGCCGCCTGCCTCCTGCATTGTATGTATGTAAGTTATTATTCTGCGGGAAACGGTCTCGGGATCGGTGGCATTCGCAGCCATTGACATTGTCCACCGCGCGGGCCTTTGCCTTGCCTGCACGACACTGCACAGCTCAAGCTTCGCGCTGGCAGTAGCGTTTCCGATATGTGACCAAATCTGGAGCCAGCCCAAGCTGCAACCTGCAACCTCTGCAACCGCTCCACCCTCGGCCCTCGAACATGAGATCTGTGCGTGTGTGCTTTTTTCACGCGCTAACGTTAACTCCTGGACGCATGACTTGCGTTCAGCAGCCATCCTTGCGAAATGCATTGTCCATGTCAGACCTTTTTTACCGCTATCGGCGCATCGACCCACACCCTTGCCAGCCCGAATGTCTGCGGCTGCCTGCCTCCCAGCCTTGCCAAATGATTCGCTGCTCACCTGTATGCTAACTGACCAGCACTCGCGCCTGACGCGAGGAGTCGACAGTCCGCTCCAACATGCACTTGAACGTGTCACAAGGCTGGGAGTCAGTGCTCACGCATCATTGTAGATGATACTCGCTTACCGGCCCACGCAGTTGGCAGCCCGACCAGCATTACACCGCCTCGACGCTCATTCCTCATGTCCATGCTGGAATGCCATGCGCACCACGAGGCCCTCTTAGCCCCTAAACTCACCTTGGAGTAATGTCTCCACCTGCTGGAGGCAAAACTAGCAAATTTTGCCTAACCCTCCTTCAATTCTCCGAGCCTGCTGCGCGCGCGCCGATACAGTAGAATGAAGCACTGCTGACTTTTCTGCAGATCAGCGTTCGCCAGTTCACTTACGCCTATTGCCGAGCTCGACTAACGTAGCGGGAACCAATTGAGGAGAGCTTTCACCGCCGACCACTGATGCGGCAACAAGCTTTTGCGAACAACCGAAGGAAGATCTATTTTTTGGGGGGGAGGGCAAGATTCCGGTGGCTTGCAAAGAACCGTGGCACGCGGTGCTTTGAGATCTAAACGGCTTTTATCTGGTACTCCAAAGTCTCTTGTAGTGGCAGCGTGCCGACGTCAGACACACTTGCCAGGGATATACTTAGCTGTCGATCCCATGCGCGCTCATGCACAAGCAACTATGGTATACCTGTGCTTGACGGTTGGTCTTGAGAATGATCCTAGCATTCTTACCAGCCAAACCTACAACCGCCTGCATGACATGGCGCGCTTCTTGTTCACACAGCGGCAAGGTTGTTTCCTCCAACAATTCGCTGCGCTCCCCGTCTAGCTCGCCTTATGCCGCTCGCCAGTGCGCAGCGAAGGAGCCAGGTTCTGAGGGGCTTGTGTCGGGTCTTCCTGCGAGATGTCCTTTCCTTACTTGACGGCTTGCTGTCACGATAGGTCCACGCTGTTTCACTTGCGCTGTTTCCGGGACGGTGGATAGCAGACCAATGACAGACAGCGCAAGGGGCAAAGGCCTTCCCTTATGATTTCTCGCATGTTGTTGTCCTTCACGCTGCCTAGCCTGGCTAGCCGTGGTCCGCGCCTGGCCCGAAGGTCGAGCTGCTGCTGCTGCTGCTGCATCTTCTTCATAATCCTCCTCAGATCTCTCTTGTTATTGCCGGTTGACGTAACACCGAGGCACCTCGTCTCGCCCACCGCAAGTTGAAACGTCCTTGGAAACGTACGAGCCTCTTGGGTCCCACGTCTACCGATTATCCGTTTCAACCAACTCCGCGATTTCGCCAGCTGCAATACGGGGCAATCCTTGCGCAATGCAGGCGCTGGCATTATAGGCGGGCCTCAAGAACGTTTATAACTCCTACATATACTTGTCGATCGGCCAACTCTAAGCGACCAATCTTTTCGGGCGAAGAGAGCCTACCTATTGTGCAATTCGACTGGCCCATACCCATACCTGGAAGAAATGAGTACTACGTGATACGTCACTTGAACAAGAGGCCCCATCGAAGTCCACTTCAAGCCAAGGTAAACTAGTCACAGTAGGCGCGCCTACTGGCTGACACTGAATCGATCATTCTTCGGCACCATTGAACCTGCACTTACCGATCAAGAGCCGCGTCGAGTTGGCGGCTGACACTGGCTGGGTCGAAGTCGTCTCGGTACTCGTCAAGTCTCTTCGATACAACAACATCCACTTGTCGTCCATCGATTGTTCGGATTCAGGCAGCCGGCAGACTTGAAGCTTTGTCGACATCCGCCGCCATCGCGTGAGCTGGCCAGCAAGCCAGCAACGGCCGCCAACGTGGATATCTCCTCGTTATTGGAGCGGCCAAAGTCAGCATCGTCTCCAGGCAATGCCAGCAATAGCTCCAAGACAACCAGCAGCAGCAGCAGAGTCAGAGACGATACGGCAGGCTCGGCTCAGCTATCAACCATAACCACAGCATCAACTCCAGCACCGTATCCAGGCCCACAATTAGAACCGCACCATCATCACCCAATCCACCACCCAAGCTTCCCTCCCGTGCAGACCATGCAGTATGCACAGCATTATCACCCAGGCCCGCAGCACTACCATCCAATGTCGAACTATTCACCTTATCCGCCCACTTCGATGCCAGATCCAAGGCTTGGGCCTCCGATACCAATCTCGCACATGCCAGGTCCGAGCGGTAACAAGAGACTCGCTCCTCCTCACCCGCATCCGAGCGAAACACCGGCCAAGAAGAAGCAATCGAAATGGACCGCCGACGAAGATCGATCGATCATCGAGCTACGAGGGAACGGTATGAAATGGGAAGACATTTCAAAGCACTTACCTGGGCGAAGCGCGATCAGCTGTAGATTGCGCTTCCAAAACTACCTTGAGCGACGCTCCGAGTGGGACGAGGAGAAGAAGAACAAGCTCGCTCGACTCTATGAGAGGTGGGTCGTTCATCTCGGAATTAAATGTGGCATTCTAGGCTAACGGTCAGCGTGTAGGTTCAAGAAGGACATGTGGGAAAAGATCTCCAAAGAAATGCAATTACCTTGGCGAGCAGCCGAAGCCATGCACTGGCAAATCGGCGAGATTGAGATGGCTCAAAGAGCAAACGTGCCGGTATTCCACCTCGCTGGCCAGCAACCGGGTTCGTCTCAAGCAGGCCCAGGTTCCGAGGGAGGATCGAGCACGTCTCCGTTATCAGGCGGTGGACCCCCATTGAGCGGAATCGCATATTCGCACACGCACAACCATAGTCTGCCCCAAGTGCAACAGCCCATCTCTCACCCCGTCTCTCCGGTCCAGTCGAGACTACGGCGTAGCAGCGACGATTCTTCTCCCGGCGGACCGTCACTGCGCCGTCGCGCCGATTCTGCACGCTCGGTGCCAAATTCCACCACGCTCAGCCGAGCACCATTGCCGCCGCTCGCCGACGTCACACGTCCTCCGGGACACGCTATACGCTACACCCTACCGCCAGTAGTGACATCGTCCGAGCGACGATGAAAGTCTTCGTTTCAACTATTTTCGCATAGCACACGGAGCGAATCTTTTCGGGTCTGCAATATCGCATTTGCATCAGCGGAATGAGACTACGACTTGACGCATGCATATAGAGCCGCACGGTCTCTTCGCAAAAATTTATGTACAACAGCTGACGATATGACGAGACGATTTGTAGAATAGGCATGACTTAGTTAGACAGGAGAGCAGTTGAGGCGATTTGAGCAACGAATGTTAATGCCGTTAGATTCAGCATCGGAATCCGAGCAGAAGGACTGTCGCTCGACGTTGAAATAAAATTTGTGCTCCCGAGACACAGTGCACTGGTCATTTGTGTTGCGTTTGTTTGACTTTGACCACAAAATACACCGGCCACCGTCATCACGGGACACACATTGAGCGGGTAGATCCGGCTTGGCGCAAGACGTCCTGTAGCGAGCGAGCGGGCGAGAGTGCCAGGGGTGGTATGACCTGGAACCGTTTCAATTGGCAGCAACATGGGCCTGCGGCCTTAATAGTCTCGACATGTTCTGTTCTCAGGCAGCGCATTCCACATACGCAGCTCTCTGTGATCGGGAGCGTGCGCGCATCACATTCCTCGCGAAACAATTATAATGGCATCCTCTGCCTCGGACTCGGAGTCGACGCTGGGCGAGAGCTTATTGGCGTGGGTGAGGTCGTTCGAGGAAGGCGGCAGAGTTGAGCAACTGGGCGAGTTGGGAGACGGCAAGGTGTTGTGGGCGATCTTGCAGGATGTAGACCCAGACTACTTTTCCGAAGCGCTGCCCGAGCCGGACATTGGTGCTGCGAGTGACTGGACGCGCAAGTGGCAGAATCTCAAACACCTGGAGAAGCAGTTGTCCATCTACTACCGTGATGTGTGCAATGGTCAGGCCGTGCCCGGCGCTGCAGGTGCGCCGGATCTGAAGGCCATAGCCGCAGATGCATCGGTGCCGCAGTTGGAAAGATTGATCATGGAAATTATCCGTGCTGCTATGGCCTCACCAGAGTCAAATCAGCGCATGGGAAAGAGACTGCTTGGGCTGGGCAATGAGCATGCGATGGCGATCGCATATGAGATCAGAAGCATGCAGGACGCCGAGATACCCGATTCAGAGACTGTCAGTAGGGATGAGTCGGCGTATCAGTCCGAGCAGGAGCTAGCGGAGAGGCCAAAAGAGCAAGGCTCAAAGCAGAATGGAGGCCTCTTTGGAGACCCTCTCTTGGAGCGAGAAGAGGAATTGCTGCAGGCACAAGCTACCATTGAGAAACTGCAGGCCAGCCACGCAGAACTCCAGAGGCAGCTCCAAGCACTGCGACAGGATAAGGAGCAGCTTCAGGAAGCCTTCGATGCTTACAGATCGGAGATCAACAAAGGAGGACGAAAGGCCGGGGCAGACGATGATCTGAAGAAGCTTCAACGACAGGCAGACAATGACAGGGCATATATCGATGATCTCGAAAATCAGCTGCAGGCCTCGCGCAATGCTGTGGAATCATATGAGCGACAGATCCAGAAGTACAAAGAAGACGGGGAGAATGGGCAGAAGCTACGCGACGACCTCCAGGTCTTGCGAGCCGAGAACGAGGACTTGAACCAAAAGGTCAAAGCGAACGAGAATCTCAAGAAGAAGATACAAGCACTCCAGGAGCAGGACAAAGCGAACGCTTCCTTGCGGGAAGAGCTCAAAAGCGCCAACGAGAAGCTTGAAGAGCTAGACCGATTGAAGCATCAGCAAGCTTCTCTGGAGAAGGAAATCATCGAGAAGAAGGGCTTGATTCGAAACCAGGAATACCAAATCAATGAATTGACAACCACTCGAAAGCACGCAGAGTATGACGCGCGAGTGCTTGCTCAGAAGCTCGAAGCTGCTCGTGAACGCCAAGAGCGAGATCATGAAGCCATTGAGGAATTGCGAGCGAAGCTGCAAAATGAAGGCCTCGAGGACGACATCGACCTCGAAACCGTCGAGCCCAAGAAAGAACCAGCTCAAGAAGATGATGATAAGAAGCCGACTGCGAAGAAAACAGATGAGACCAAGCACTTCAACGAGAAAATCGCCCTGCTTGAGAAACAACTCGAAGCCGCGGATGCCCGATTGAAGCAAGCTTCCGAACGAAATGCCGCATTTGAAGAAAAAAGTCGTGGCCGGGACGAAGCAACAGCGCAGTCGGACAAAGTGCAGAAGGAGCTCGAAGAACGGGAAGACACGATTGCACAACTTCGCAAGGAGCTTGAACATTTACAGAAGCAGCCTAAAGAAGCACCTCCACCGCAAGACGTGGCGATGCTGCAGAGAGAGAACCGTCTGATGGTCACCGCATGGTACGATCTTTCGAGTCGATTGCAGAATAATGGCGTGTCGTTGGGTCGCAGGAGGCCGGAGCCGAAGAGCTGGATCGGTAAACAAAGGGCGGCTGTTGGGCCTCCTCATAGCAATATCGTAAGTTGATGATTTCTTCGAGTCCCGCTAGTTACGTTCAATTGCTGATATTCTTATCAGCATCGATAGAACGAGAGAGAGAGAGAGAGAGCCTCATGTAGCATTTCCTGGTGTTGTGTTGTGCATTTGCTTTAACTGCCCTATACCCATAGCGAGTTTGAAGGTTGGTGATGGCTATTTAGAAAGATCAATACGAACCGTTGTTGATTACGAAACTCTTACATGCCTAGCTTCACCTCACGCGGATGAGTGCTTCATGGACCTTATCAATCGCAAGTCATGGGATACAAAGCCTCGCTGATACAGCACACACGGAATCAAAACAGCAGAGGTAGCACGAAGCGCAGAGTGACCTCAAATCACAGTCCGAGAGAAGAATTGTGTCGACAAACAAGGATTCAATGCTACAGCACCGCGTCTATGATCCTTTCAAGCATCCGCTTCTTCAATCTGTCCGCTTCGCCCTTGGCTACATTTGCCGCAAACTCCATAGCTTTGCATCTCGACCTCCAGTCAATGTGATCTTCGCCGGCGGGCCTCGCAGCCGCCGCACTGTGTGCGATTTCACGCATGCTATCTTCGATCCAGCCATCTTTGTCCATCTTATACATAGCCTCTATACTCTTCCTCAGCACCAAATCATGTAGGGTCTCGGTAGTCTCAGAGGGCATTAATGCGGCGGTCGGAGCAGCCAACGTCAGACCTTTCATCTCAAAAGCTCCAATACACCCACCCATGCTGACACGCCAAAAGATATCAAAGACTTCTCGCACGCCTTCCTGGTTCTGGTCATATGTTATCTCCTCATACCCGTCCGCGTCAGTGCGGAAACGTGTTACATTGATCTTCTTGCCGTGTCCAGCCGCGGGGCCTAGAGGCACGTTCGTTTGATCACCAACCCCGAGCCATGATGCGGCTATAAGTCTCGCCATGTCGTCTTGTGGGTTACTGCTCTCTGCTCTGGGAACATTCAGCCTCTCCAGCATCGAGTCAGCCAGACGCTTTGCCTCGTCACCACTCAAACGATTTTGTCGTCCACTGAGATCGGCTCGAAGGACATCACTCGTGAGAACTCGCTTTAGTGCTTCAAAAGAAAAGCCACTAGTTGAGTTTCTCATCGGGTAGCCTTGTTGCATTAAAGGTGGTCCAGCTCCTGGTTGTGGGTGTTGTAGTGGTGGCCCAAACCCTCTCGTGGGATCATCTGAATCACTTCTAGTCTCGAGCTCCCGAGCTTCTCCATTGACCTGCAAAGCCGGAGGAGTTGCAAGTCTCACTAGACCTCCTGTGTGCTGTGGGACCTGAAGCGATAATCTTCCAGGTCGGCCTTCTCCTCCTGAAGACTGAAACCCAGCCTGCGGCATTTGAGGCGATGAGTGCTCGACGCTAGGCTGTCTTTCTTGCAGCAGCCCACTGAAAGCTTTCTTGTCATTCCCAGGATCAACGGGAAAAGTGTTGAAGGGACCATCTTGTGTGTTTCGGCTAGCAGGAGGTCTGCCGCGCGGTTTAGCGCCCGGTGCACTGGTGGAAGGCCAGGCACTCGACACCGCAGGTCCATGCCGTCGTCTTTTCCGAGATGAAGGCGTGACGGCAGACTTTGGCTCTCCATCGAATGCTGCATCGATGTGGGCAGACATCGATGTTGACAGAGCAGTCATAGGGTGGGGTGTGCCTGGCGTGTGCGATTGACCAAGTTGCCATCTCAAATGGGAGTTTGCTGAGGCTGGCACCGCCGAAGACGAGGCTCGTGCCGACCATGGAGCAAAGCTCTGTGGTGTTACAGCGGAAGCTACAGCCCAAGGATCGTGATAATTATCTGGATGAGCACTCATGGGCAATGCAGACATCGGCGCAGCAGAGTAAGACGCGACGCTCTCGGTCAGTTTTGGTTGTTTGCTGGCAGACTCGGCATCAGCATTCTCTTCTTGCTCTGTCTCGGAGTTGCGACGTCGCCCTCGTTTTGGTCTGAAAGACGGATCAAGAGCTCTAATAGCAAGATCTTCCTCCGCCATGACACCGTCTCGACCAGAAGCAGGATAAGGGTCACTGGGTGGAGGTATTTCCGTGAAGTAGGAATGCTGTTTGCCCAGGAGATACTCGAAGAAAGAATCGATGTGCATTGCACGCATCCATCGCTTCAGACGAACACTATACTGTTGGACTTTCTGTACAGATTGGCCTTTGGAGAGATCGGGCGCTTCAACGCCAAGATCAAGTGCAAGCTGACCCCATGTCTTGATCTCTTTGGCATCGAATTTTTTGATGAGCTCGAAGAGCTTCAATACTTCGAAGTCCTTGCTATCGCTTTTCGGCGGGCTTTCGAAATTAGCCCTAAGTGTCGTTGTATCGACATCCAAGGGGAAGTTGGGATTACAGTAAAGGATGTAGTCTACAAATGCCTGGGTGATCGTGCTTGCAGATACATCTCGTGATGGAAGCTGTCTATCGCTAGGTTTGAAGCCTGCAGAATATGTCCGTCCTGGTGAGGCACTGTTCATACGAGGAGATGTACCAGCCGGCGGTTGCATGGTTCCCATACTTTCTGGTGAAGAATGACTCTTATGTGAGGAGGGGCGAGATATCGGCGTGCGGGCGCCGGGATGTAGGTGCTGATTGCTCTGCAGACTTGGATCAATGCCGTATACGGGTGCTATAAAAGCCTGGCTATTTGGGTTTCCCTCGACATGGTGGTACTGCTGCTTACTATTACTGTGATGCCGAAACATAGCTGGCACAGGATCTCAGCTGAGACTTTGGGATGCCCATCACAGGCCAGCCAGACCAGCTGCAGCGGCCGTCTCGTGTGCGTATGAGTGAGTGAGTGAATTTCTGATCTAACCAAGGCTGAGGGTTTCCAATTTGCCTTCTATATTGTCCAAAGGAGGAATTTAGCTGGTTGAGAAATGATGTTAAGTTGACAAGAACGTTGGAGGCTGAGAAAAGCCCCGCTTCGGAATTGTCGGCCGAGGCCAATTGGCAGGGATATCGCGGTCCGACTAGTCTCGCAGCTCAGACGCATCCATGGATCCGTTTGTTCATCCTCGAGCTCGCCCTGACGTAGATTCAGCGTTCTCTTCAACATTCTGCCGACTCACGAGCTTTTCACTGGGACAGCTAGCTCATCGACGTGTCTGTTGGGGCAATGATGGCCCTTGGAAGGAGCGCGATAGGTTGACCACGCCTCGCAATTGACAGACCACTTACGAGTCGTCGTACTAGGCACAAGCTGTTTCCCAAGCGCATCATGATCTGATAGAACTCAGCTTAATCAATGGGAATAAAGCGCTCGAGCAGCAGATCTAGTCCAAGCTCGGTGGTGGGTGTCTTTGCTGGAAAAGACCACCAATGGCTTCACATCTAAACTTCTTCTGAACGAAGACGTCATTCTGAGAATGGGTGCTTCAGCCCAGCCTTTGGCATTAGATCTGATGATGCTTGTCATATTTGCTACCCAGAAGCTGCAGGATATAAAGTTACTAAGCTGTTCAGCGATTCGAGCGTTGATGAAGACGTTATTGAAGCTGTTGCAGGGCCACAGCAGATATTTAGTTCCGATACCTGACTAGAGTCTGATGCTGCACCTGGTATGTTCCCATTGCAGGTACCTAACTGCCCCCTGATATCGGGTTGAGGGCATGTCGCATGTCACACGCCGCATCCGTTCCTTTCGGAGAGGGGAACAAGGCTCTGGATGAAGAGTCGCGGCCGAGAGTCAATCACTTTCCGAGAGTCAAGTAAAGCCTGTCTCCGATGTCTCCAAGGCCAGGCTTGATCATGCCATTGCTGTCCGTCTCTGCATCGACACCACCGACCCAAAGCTCTACACCTTCCGGCCAAGCAGCAGCGGCGCGTTGCAGTCCTGTCTGGCTTGCCAGGACCGAGATGGATATGATGCGCTGCACGCCCCAATCGCGCAATGTCTCTATCGCTGCACAGACCGTCGAACCGGTTGCGATGATTGGATCGACAATGATTGCCAATTCCGCAACACTAGAAGTATCGCCGGCTTTATGGTATGGCAGGTTGTTATAGTATTCCACTGGCTGGAGCGTGCTCTTCTCACGATACATTCCCAGATGATGAACAGATACCGGCGAAGGCAGTAGCGACTGTACAGCGTCTACCATACTGAGTCCCGATCTGAGGATGGGCACGAGACTGATCTTGGCGGGCGAAACATGTTCGGTAGCATATGCGTATCCTAATGGCGATTGATCCTACACGAATGACATAAGACGGTTAGCTTGCGAGCTGCTCGACTATGGTCAGCCTAGGCTGGCTGAGAGAATTGGACAATGACTTACTGTTCCCGTTTGCTCGACTTGTAGGCCATGAGCGAAAGCTTCACAACCCACTATGGTCGCGATGTCGTGGATGAGGGAGTGTGTATCTTTGGCGTTGGTCGAAGCCGACCTGAGCTGGCTCAACTTCGCACGAGCGCAGGGGTGTGACGAGACGTGGACATTGGAGGACATGGTGTAGGCTCAGGCAGGAACGAGAGAGAGGTATTCAATCATATGGCAGGCGTACAGCTTCTGTGAGGGCTCGAGGATGATGAGAGCGTTGTTTGCGCATACTAAGGCTTATCGTATGCTGAAGCGAAGGTGGAAGCTGGCCTATCTCCGAGCCCAAACAAAGATCAGCGCGGGAAGGAAGCAAGCACAGCGGATCTCGCCTCAGCCGTTGTGCCAGGGGCCAGGGCCCAGCCTGAGCCAACAGCCAAAGCCCAAGCCACGATCAAATCGTGAAATGCGTCAAATTATATTAAGCTTCGCCGCCCGAGAAACTATACCGGTACTCCTCCCCTCCGGATTTGTTTCTCTTCCTCGATACTAAACCGAGCCCTAGCTACCCGCCCGAGCCCTAGCATAACCCGAGGCTAGCACTATTATAGAATCAGCTTTATATAGAATTACGTGCTCTTTCTACCTAATATAGGCTATTTCCGTTCTTAGTTAGTGTTATCGACGGGCGCGTAGCGCGTTACCTAGAAAGGAATTCTACTCGAATCTACTATATACCTAAAATTCGCATTTCTTCCCCCTTTTATAGTAGATTACCTAGTAACTATCGAAAATAGCTAAATCTCTATTATACGAAGAGTTTCTCGATAATCTTATCGCCGGCGGCGCGGCAGAGGTAGTAGTAGAAGGCGCGCTCTCGGCGGTAGAAGAAGGCTCGGCAGTAGAAAGTGTTAAAGGTATAGAAGGCGCGCTATTAGCGGCGGCGGCGGCGGATATTAAAGAGGTAGAAATAGTAATAGACGGCGCGCTCTCGGCGGTAGAAGGTATTAAAGGTGTTAAAGGTATTAAAGGTGTTAAAGGTATTAAAGGTATTAAAGGTATTAAAGGCGCGCTGCTAGCGGTAGTAGATATTAAGTCGTAGGAAGAGGTCTAATTTGTCTCGGAGACGCATATTCGAGGTCGCTATCGCTTACTAAGCCTGCCTCGCAAGCGTGTCGCTTTGTCTAACAATAGGTTAGTGTCGCTACGACCTTAGAAGCACCTATTTTCGCTAAAGGAGCGCCGCCGTAGACCTTTACCGCGAGAGTTAATATTTAGGTCTTATTATACCCTTATCGAGTACGTTTATACCTTCGGAAAGTCGACTAGATATAAGTTTAAGCAGTATAAGCCGCAGAAGAATAAGAATAAGGTCAAATACAGGCACCTCTTTGTATATAGTTGCTACGGTTTACTAGATAAGCGCACCTAGAAGGAAGAGATAAAGCGGAAGTCGACTTCGAAGAAGATAGGTTGTAGGTTCTATTTCTACGCCGTTGCTGTCGATCTAGCGCAACTAGAAGGTAAATAGGTAATCCGCTATTCTTTAGAAAATAACTATTGTTATTATAACTACGAGAAGGACGATATCGTCGCCCTTACTATAGTGCAGCGGAAGTTAAGGATAGCGGCTTTCCTCGAGCAATTAGAGGGTCTTTAGTAAGCGCGAATACTAACCTCGAAGATTATAGCCTATTTCCGCGACCGTAGTGTTATTCTAAAGCCTAAGGATATATATAATATTGCCTAGTCTCGCAATATTAATGCTCGATAAGAGATAAACTAGGCTTAGCGGATAGTTAAGTTATTAAACGAAAACGGCATCTTCTACGAGGTTAAAACTAATCCGGAAAATAGGGCTATTCGTTCTATAGTTGCCCTCTACCTACGGTTACTAGAAGCCTTTAAGAATACGCTATATATACTAATTATCGACACTACCTATTCTACTAACATCTATAACCTCGAGCTAATAGACATCGTTGCCGCCGGCCCTATAAATAACACGATTAAGCTTAGTATTAGTCTTGTCCGTCCGAAGCTAGATAAAGCGGACTTCTTAAAGTTATTACGTCTACTACGGAAGGGCCTCGAACAAGCCGGTTGTCTAATGCCTCTTATTATAGCTACTAATCGAGAAGAAGCGCTTATGCTAGCTATTAATAATAAGTTTCCGGAGTCTAAGAATATCGTCTGTAACTAGCATCTATAGCAAGATATACTAACTCGAGTCCGTAAAGAACGAGGCGAATTTAGACAAGTTAAAGCCGATAATAGGGGCTAGATAGACAGTCCTTAAACTAGCCGCTTCTTAAAGCTCTTTATATATACTATTCGTAGTTAAATTAAGCAGGAGTTTAACGATAACGCTCGGAAGTTAGACAACGTATATCCTATATTTAAGGCGTACCTAGAAAAGAACTAGTAGCGCTATAAGACACGTATTGTTTACTACTAGACAAACGAGGTTCTACACTTCGGCTATAAGACTACTTCTCGTATCGAGTCGACCTATAGACGCATTAAACAATAGCTCAATTATAGTAGCCGCTACGATATCTTCTTACTCTTTAAGAGCCTGCTTAACTAGTAGCACGAAGGTTACGATCGTCGTCGTATTCGCCTTACTAAGAACCTCAAGAGGTGCAATAAGGCACTAACTAGACCCTTCTAGTCTAGTATAGCTCGTATAATTAGTAATTATTGCTTACTAGAAGTAAAGGAGCAATATCTACGTATAGTCGACCTTCTGTAGACTATAACTAACGATAATAGCAACGAGGTTAAGCACTCGGCCTATTCCTATAGCTATCCTTACTATACCTATAGTAACTATACAAAATCGACCTACGGCTACTCTTACAAATACGACATTATGCGGCTTCTTAAGACAGGCGGCCCTCGAGCTATGCTATTGCTATCTTACTTCTATTCTTACTAGCTTATTAACTTCCGCAAAACAGTCTATCTACGAGAGCTAGAGGTAATCTATAGTAACCGCAAACCTATAACTAGCAAGGCTACTTTGTATAGCACTAAGCGTGTAGTAACGGCTCGAGAATTAGACGATTTAAACACTACTACTATTACTAAGAAGCAGAAGACAATAACCGCTAGAATAGTCAACTTTGAGTTAGAACTAGGCGTGTCTCTTATATAGCTTCGGACGACGGTTGCTAAGCACTATAAGTGCGTAAAGAGCTAATGCCGCACTTAACAATACCCTTACTAGAGGGCTAACCGTACGTATAGCTCTACCTGCTATTTAAGCGGCTTTAAGTGCTATAATCTACGAGTCGAGTCTTTACTTCTAGCCGCTCCGGAGCTACCTTCTAAGCTAGATCTACTTCGCCGAGAGATTAAGGACCTACGAGCACGTAAGAACTAACGTCTATAGGCGGAAGAAGAGCGAGCGAGGCAACAAGCTAACTATAGCCGCTAGCAGGCGGCATTATATAAACAATAACAACGATAGGCTACTTAGCAATACTACTAGCACTAGCAACAATAATAGTCGCTTATATAGCTAACAGGGCGGCTACTTCATTACTAGGTACTATAGCAATAGCACTATTAGTTTACTTAGTAGTAGTATTATATACAGCAGCAGGCTAGTTAGCAAATAAGGGACTAATATAAGCCAGCATATATAGCATCACGTGGTTACAAGGCTGCAGGTCGTAATCCGCTTGGACCTAAGTAGATAGCAACTAACAATACCTTGAATTTTGCTATACTACTAATTTGCTAACAAACTTTGGCTTTATAGCTGCTAGCAGCAGTATAGTAGTGGTTGCCCGGTCGCAGGGGCTGCAGCGACGCGATTATCCGCTTCTACACGCGATTTTGTATGGAACAGCCGATCTCGTAATCTCGGGTTATGCTGGGGCTCGGGCGGGTAGCTGGGGCTCGGTTTAGTATCGAGGGTTTCTCTTCGCCTGGCAGCGGTCCAGCGGCAACACATCCTGGCTCCAATATTCATTTATGGCCACTACGCGTCCCAAGGAACCCTTCGCGTAGCCTATGCTGGTCGCATGGGTCCAGGGTCACTCTGACACCCGTCACCCAATCTGGAGCCTGGAGGCGAGAAATGGCTGATTCATCATGGCGAGACCGTGTCCAGGAAGCCCTTCCGGACGACGAATACGGCATTACGGAAGTTCATAGCGAACGACGCTGGTCAACAAGCACTTCAGCAAGTCGGAGACACAGCTACTATGACGCGCAACGGGGTGGCGAAACGCAATCGAGCGAGAAGCGATCAAGTCAAAGACGTTCGCGGCCAGTGTCGACATCGTCTCAGGCAACCACGAAGTCTAAGGGCAAACGCGCGAGTTATCAAAGCTATCAGCAGCCTGCTGCCCATTCTCACGTAGACGGATATGCAGTGCCTCTTCCCGTTACCCAACTGGAGACCCATGTCCCAGTAACGAACTTTAGTCGACCCGTCGGCGACGGGGTTCGCAGACGCGCTCCAAGCGGCGCCTCGCACAACCAAAACAAATCAGTTGACACCACCATGTCAGCCTTGCCACCAATGCCAAAGGCAGAGCGTTTCTCTCAGCAGACAACCGCGCAGAATACACAGCACCAAGGCTACGATGGCACAGAACCACATCAGGCCTCGAGAACATCAACAAACGAGCCACCGCCGTTCTCTCGCCGAGACCGAGTCGATGAGGACAACGATGCGACAAAGCCATCACCTCGCTGGCTGACAGAGCTCTACACAGTTTCGTACCTGGTTCTCTTTTCCTTGCTTGGCACGTTGGCACGATTGGGAGTGCAATGGATTACTTTCTATCCGGGAGCACCAATCACGACGCCTGTGATCTGGGCAAACATGGGTGGATCGTTCATCTTGGGATTTCTGGCGGAAGACCAAGGCCTCTTCAGAGACCACGTCCAGGATCTGGCGACTGCAGAGAAGCAGGACACGGACCTGGCGATTGACAAGGCGCTGTTTACAAAGCACAAGAAGACAATACCGCTTTACGTCGGACTCGGTGTTGGCTTTTGTGGCAGCTTCACATCTTTCTCAAGTTTTGCGAGAGATGTCTTTCTCGCATTGTCGAATAATCTCCCCGCGCCAGTCAACCATCCAGATGCACTAGTCACGGGCACGCTTTCACCCTCATCAATAATTGGGCGCAATGGCGGCTATTCTTTCGAAGCACTCTTAGCCGTCATCCTATACACGTTTGCCCTCTCCTTAGGGGGCCTCATCGTCGGTGCTCATACTGCACTTGCATTGTACGAAGTCACACCCACGCTGCCTGCAAGATTCGTTCGGAAGGCAGTCGACCCGTCCATGGTCGTCTTTGCATTTGGCTGCTGGCTCGGTGCAGTCTTTCTCGCAATCTGGCCCCCTGATCGCCCAAGCGGACCCTCGTCCCGCGGATCTTGGACGAATGAAACCTGGCGTGGCGAAGTCCTCTTCGCTTTGGTGTTTGCACCTCTAGGCTGCTTATTGAGGTTTTACACCAGCGTAAAGCTGAACGGCCTTGTGGCAGCATTTCCACTCGGTACCTTTGCGGTAAACATGTTCGGCACCGCGATCGAAGGTATGTGCTACGATATGCAGCACGTAGGAGTCGGCATAATGGGCCAAGTCGGCGGCGGCCGCGTTGGCTGCCAAGTGCTCCAAGGAGTTCAGGATGGTTTCTGCGGTTGCTTGACCACGATCAGCACGTGGGTTGCTGAGATTAATGGATTGAAACGCAAGCATGGATACTTATACGCATTAGCGAGCATTGTTGGAGGATTGTGTCTCATGGTGATTATCATGGGCTCTGTGAGATGGACTGTCGGATTTCGCGAACCTGTTTGCTCTACTGGATACCCTTCGAAAGTTCTTGGATGAGCATCTCACGACGGTATAGATGAATATGTTTAGTAATGTTTAGAGATCAAGAGAATCAGTAGAATTAAGAATATACAGACTCCAGTCATGTATGCGAAGATGGCAAACCTCTCGCTACTTTCCGTGCTTCTCGTTCCATTCGAGGATGAGAGAGATCACCTTCTCTGGGCATTCCTCAGGCAAGTAGTGGCCGTGTCCATCTCCAATTGCCTCGCCCCTGTATTCTCCATCAATCCAATTCTTCCATACTGCATCAACGTTGTGCATGCTACCCAGATTGCCAGCACTATAGATGACCATAAGTGGAATTTTAATCTTCCTGCCTTGATCCTGATCTTTCTGCTGCTCGTCACAATCTTCAGTTGCTCCGGCAGCATAGTCCCCGCAAGATCCGGCGATACATTCTGCTTGCGAGAACTGGTGGGCGTAGTGTCCAACAGCATCATTTTCTTGAAACTTGGCAGTGCCGGAGGAATTACCTCCTTTGATTCGATCAAAGTTGGCCTTCACATAGTTGCCTCCACCCATCATCTCTATCATCTGAGGAGCCGTTGGGATTGCGAGAAACGGCCAGTGATAGTATGCACAGCTTGCAAGCGGATTGCCAAACGCGGCCCATTGCTCTCGTGTCGGAACAATATCCATGAAGATGGCAGATGTGATGTTGTGATTGCCATCAACCACCATGCGATGACCGACTCGTGCTCCTCGATCGTGGGAGCACCATATGATGGGTCGATCCTCTCCAAAGACTTGTTGGAGAGCTTCCACGATGAGATTTCCCACAGTCCGCTTATCATGTTTCGGCGGAAGGGAACTGAACCCATAACCAGGCAATTCGGGAATGAACATGGAGATGTGATCTTTCAGCTCCTCAACGACGTGTCGCCACATGTAGCTCGATTGAGGCCAGCCATGGGCCATGCACCAGACTGGCCCCGAACCGCGATCGTGAGAATAGCTCACGACCTTCCCCCCGGACGATACCTGGGAAGCGTTTTGCCTGAGAAATGGATGCAATGACTTGATAGTCTGATCCGCCATGTTGGCCGAGAAATAACAACAAGTCGGATGTGGACGGGGTTTGATGAGGCTGAACAGAAGTACGGATGATGACGCCAAAGCTCCGAGGTTGTTCTAAGCTCGCAATTTGAGTGCTCACAAATCCAGCATGCTTACGCTATGCTCTGCTGCGATGGAAAGTAGTGTTACTGTCTTGAGCTGAACTGATGATAGGAGTCGCCATGTTTGAGCAGCATGGACACGTCCAGAACCCGATTTCTCTGTCAGATATCAGTGCATCTCGGCCGCACGTCTTGTATGCCACAAGCACGCCTAGCTCCGGGAGTCCGCGTGAGTTTGCTGGGGAAGAAATGCAGCCAAGGTTCATGGCCAGTACGGTCACCGACGACCCCCAGCATATCCGTGCCAGAGATCATGGCTGGGCGACGTGGACAAGCGGGAGCTGCGCCGTTTTGCCTGATGACATGACTGCGAGTGCGATGCCTATGAAAGCAGCTTGCAGTGCATGCAGTGCATGATGACAGCTGCTGCGCAGGTTGTGTGTAGTTACATGTTTATTAAGCCTTTTCAGCCGATTCCCTGCGTGCCAGGTGCTGCCAGTGCCACTGCCACCGATTGGTCGTGCCGCTGCTATCGACGGCCACACGGCCTCTCAGTCCATCTCCAACAGTCCAACTCTCACTGCGCGCATTGTTTTCACCGTCACGAACACGAACCCGCACCCGCACCCGCACCCGCACCCGCACCCACGAGAACGAGAACGACACCATACAGACCTGCGCGAACATTGGAACCGCTTCAATGCGGCCGCCGTAGAGCACCACACGCCCACGCCCTTGGCGCCCAGCTGCGCTCATCGACTCGAGCATGGCTCACGATGTCCACCCTCTCGCCCCGCGCCAGCTATGGAATTTGCCAACCCAGACGACCGCTGATCTGCAGGCGCATTGCACTCCATTCACTCTGCCCTCGAATGGAGTGCTTTCGCTGGCCGACGGCGCCGCCATCACATTGACGACCGATGTCATCTTCCAGCCAGAGTGTACCGCTACACGCACCGGCGACGTATTCGCCGTCGGACACCTAAAGGACCCATTCTATGCATCCACTATCCCTATGGTCTACGTGATCTCTGCTGCGACAGTCATAGCATGGGTACTGGTGGTCATGCTGACCATCACACCGAGGACCTCCTTCTTCGGTGCTCCGGGACCACCTTCATTCAGCAACGGCCACGGCATCATAGGCGGCGCAAATGGAGGCATAATGGGCGTGACTGGGGCTGGATCCAGACCGTGGCTACAGAAAATCGCGGCTTTAGCCGTCGCAATCTCACTTACCATCGCAACAGCTGACACATTGGAAGTGGCGGAGAGGCAGTACGGTGTCGGATATATGGACGCTATGGCAATGCGCAAAGAAGTTCTCGGATCGCTAGAGATACGCATCACAAGACTGATATCAGACATATTCCTCTGGCTCGCCCAAGTCCAGACCCTGATACGGCTATTTCCAAGACACCGGGAGAAAGTCTTGATAAAGTGGATTGGATTTGTCCTGATCATCTTTGACACCGTCTTCTCCTGTCTGAACTCGTTCTTGATCAACTCGGCCGCAAAAGGACGACACTTCGTGGATGCCATTCCCGCGCTGTCGTACCTCTTCGAACTCGCACTGGGACTACTATACGCGGCCTGGGTTTTGTACTATGCTGTCACGAAGCGTCGCTATGCCTTCTACCATGCCAAGATGCGTAATATCGCACTAATAGCTTTGCTATCTATAGTCTCCATACTCACACCCGTGGTATTCTTCATCACGGATGTCTCGAATCAGGATGTTGCAGGTTGGGGTGACTATTTCCGCTGGGTTGGCGCCGCAGCAGCGAGTGTGGTTGTATGGGAGTGGGTGGAGCGCATCGAAGCTTTGGAGCGAGACGACAAGAAAGACGGCATCTTGGGCCGGGAGATATTTGATGGCGATGAGATGTTGGATGTGCTACCGGAACAAGGGTCGGAATGGACGCAAAGCAGAAACCTCCGACGGAACTTCAGAAATCCGAGAGGCGATGGAGACCACCAAGGCGGCGCCGGCCATACCTCAAGTATGGCAGAGAACGGGTTTCTGGGAATGGCACATCGATTCAGATCGAGGCACCAGCAGTCGCCACAGCATTTCCCGCTTGGAAGGGCTCATTCGAGCTCTGAGCCCAACAGCCAAGATCGTATATTACCCGAAGGCGGCGAACCTCTCGAATCTACAGTATTGGGAGGACCAACGCCACCACCGATGGCCGCCGACCCGGTCAATCGAGCCGACACCAGCAGTGCCGGCAGTACTGTGTACGTTGTCCGGTATCACCCGATTGCTGACGTGCCGCAACCGATACGAAGACGAGCAAACACAAATCGCAATGACCGAGCACAAGGAAGAACGGCTGCTCAGCGACGGAGGACGAATTACGAACCCTCAGAGAAGGATATAATCGAAGCCGAGGAAGAATCGAGACCAAACCATCATCGTGATCACAGCATTTGGAATGCAGTGCCGAATCCTTTCAAGCGAAAACGTACTTCGCCTCCGCAAGAAGTTCAACGAGCCCGTGAGGCCGCTGGGCAAAGAGCCCTAATACAAGCACATAACTATTCAAGATGGGATCTCAAGAATCGTCTTGGCGCTCTCGTAGCTGAAACGGGCGACCGTGTTCGTGAGAGCGGAGCGGCGAGAAGACCTCCAGCTGAAGATCTGCGGGTGACCGTCGTACCCGCACAGCCGCGCGGCAGCAATCGCACATGGATCACTGCAGAGCAGAATCAAACATCGCAGCGACCGGCAATTTCAGACAATGGTCAGAACATCCCAATTTCTGGTACAACATTGGCTACAGAAAACCAACGGTTCACCCCTCCCCAGCAGGCGCCGCAGAACGGCTCTGAACCACTGCAAGGCGGTGCAACGCGGCAGTCAACGCCGACTGTTACTTTCCAGGACAGAGTCGGGCCTCCACGAGCAGATGACATAAGTCCTGTGGCAGGTAGAGGAGCAACAATAGTGGTTCCCGCTCCCCCTAGGCGTACACCGACGAGTCGCAATACACCGACACCACCTGTACGATCAGGTGGAAGCCGAGGAGCTGACTTGTCCAAACCAACACCTCCTCCCGGGTGAAAGTGCGTCAAAAGCTATTTTTTGGGATTTGTGGATTTAGCGTGGCGTTGGTGGTGGAAACGATATACCCATTCCTGGGATTGGCCCTTTGTGAAAGCATTTCTACGACTCAGGCGACTTGGGCCTGTATATGAAGAACGATGTAAGCTTGAATTTGTACATATTGTACATATGTCCGAAGATAGTCGCAGAGCCTTCGTGCTCAGATGCAAATGATGAGAGCTATCGAAGACAGAGCAGAGCCCTTTCTCCAAACTGTTGCGTTACGCTGCCTTCGTCAGAGAGTACTGTGTGAAGCCACCGCCTCGCTGATTCTAAAGCAGGTGCTGCGAATTTGACAACCACACAACCTCGAATTGAGGCAGCGGACCAGGTGACCTTATTCGCAGCTTCTAATCGTTGCCTCTTGACTCGTTGAACTACTAACGGATCAAGCGTCTCTTCATCTTCGCTGTCACTACCGCTATCCCATTTTCGGCCTCCAATTCTAGGCAACTGTTTGAACTCGCTCATAATGAACCGTCCCAAAGCGGAATACATTGGCCCGTATAGTATCAAAGTAGCATAGACAGCAAGACCATCCATTCTGATCGCGACATCACCTTGTCCCTCGTCCTGGTCCAACAGCATATTGTCACGTAAAAGCAATCTACGAGTTCCGGCTGGATTCTGCAGATAAATCTCATTGCGACTTCCATAGCGATAGAACGACCAATTTTCTCCATTCGCAGGTCGACCATTGGATACCCAATCGAGTACGCAAAGACTTCCAGTGCCATGTTCCTTTGAAGTCGGGAGATGGATGTTGTAGATCTGCCGTTGTTCAAAACAGCTCTTCTCGAAAGGCTGGACGGGGTCTGGAAGATAGCAGAGTCCGGAGGCAGGAGTCAGATCGACTGTCATCGACTGTTTGCTGAGGATATCTCGCCCGGGTGATTTGAACAGCTTGGTGCTTCCTTGTGTGAGGAGGATAAGTTTTGTTGTCTCATCTAGATGGACATGGAGATCTATGGTGTCGCCGGCGACCAAGCCGCCGCCATATGTGAGCAGGTAGACCGTATGTACCAGATCAGCGTCTTCACTCGTCGTTCGTACTGGGGCCGGGTAGACTAGTTTTAATGGATACTGATAGTTCACAGTCCTTAGCTTTGGATGGCTGGGTGGTAAAAGTGCGAGATGTATGGTCCCTTTTCCGGGCAAAGAAGTTGGAGGTGTGAAGGGATTGGACATAGTGTCCAGGCAGTCCTGTTATCGTGGAAGCATTGTTGTATGAACAGAAGCCCGTCCGTTCTGCCTCTTCCCCGAATCTAGTGTGTGATTCTGGGAATTGACTTTGCTGACTTATCGAGCGGTGGTCAGTGCTTGGTGTTTTTGGCGACCGCGACGCGACGCCCCGCCGGCACAGTTCGCGGAACGGAGGACTCTTGCGACATGATTCACTTGCACATCGACATCTTTCTTAACCGCGACATCTTCGAAGCAGAATTTCGCGATATTCCTGAGGCCATGGTCCAGGATTGACACGCTTGACGACAGCATACGATCCAGCGCATCGCAGTTCGGAGGTTTAGACACATTGCGCGGTTGGTGCGCATTCGACGCGTTTTCAAATTTAGATTGATTCCATAAGATGGCAAGCTCAGCATCGCCTCCGGCGATGGTGTCGGGCGAGGCAAGCCGACGCGCCTCTGGACGCGTCCGCAAGCAGCCAGATCACTTCACGTCGAATCCACACGTGAACGGCAAGCGGAAACGCGGTGAAGATGAGGAAGTTGATGGCGACGGCGATATCGACATGGCAGAAGAAGATGAGTCGGGAGAATCGGAGGACGATCCAGAAGACGAGCCTGATGCCGAAGAGATTCGCGAGCAAGCCAAGAAGAAAGCGCGTCAGGCGAAGAAAGCACCAGCAAAGGCACCGGCACCGGCGGCAGCGAGAAAGCCACCACAGAAGAAGCCGAAGACCAATGGCATTACGCTACCAATTCGCGGCGTGACGAAGGCAGCACCCAAAAAGCGGCCAGCGAAAAGAACGAAAGCAGTCGATGCGGAAGAGGCCGAGGCGATGGGCGGTCTATATGCTGAGCTATTTGCGCGAGGGCAGAATGCGGATGAAGTCGTGGCAGGGTGGCTTAAGGCATTCGAGGAGCATGAATCCCGCGCGCTGGCCGACTTCATCAGCTTTGTGCTTCATGCGGCGGGATGTAAGAGCAAGGTCACCGAGGAGGATATCGAGGATCCGGACGGCGCGACTGCACGGCTTACCGAACTTCAGGACGAGCATCATGCCACGAATCCTACAGAGTATCCACTGGCTGGCAAGAGCGCCAAAGCAATGTCCTTCAAGACAGCCATTACTGACTTCGTTTTCACTCTGATCAAGGCCATCTCTGCAGCGGATCTGTTCAAGACCAGCCCAGAGCTTCTCGAAAATATACAGGTGTGGCTGTCGACGATGTCGTCAGCGACCGAGCGATCTTTTCGGCATACCGCTACTGTGGTCTCACTCAGTCTCATCACTGCACTTTGTGAGATCGCTAGGGAGCTGGCGGAGAAAGGAGCCACGAGCCAAAGACAAGCTGAGATGGAAAAGAAGAAGAAGACTGTCAACAAGGCACGTGTGAAAGAGATCGAGCAAAAGGTCAGGGACGCGACGGCAGAACAGGAGTATGCGAACAGCATGCTGAAGGACTGGTTTGACACGGTCTTCATTCATCGATATCGGGATGTTGACCATCTCATTCGGCGCGACTGCATCGAAGCGCTGGGAGACTGGATAGTGGCTATGCCAGAAACATTCTTCGACGGAGCGCATCTCCGATACCTCGGATGGCTGTTGAGCGATGAGAACGCTCAAACTCGTCAGGAAGCCGTCAAGCAGCTGCGCCGGCTGTATGCCGATAGTGACAAGCTTGGCGGTCTAAAGACCTTCACAGAACGCTTTCGCTCACGACTGGTCGAGATCGGCACCTCGGATGCTGACGTGGCCGTTCGCGTTACCGGCATCGAGCTCTTAGGAGCCTTGCGAGAAAACGATCTACTTGAACCAGATGACATTGATGCCATCGGTCGACTAGCGTTTCATGAGGAGCCAAAGGTACGCAAAGCAGTCGCCGGGTTCTTTGCGGCAAATGTGAAAGACCTCTTCGACTCGAAAGTCGAGGACGTGGGTGGTGCTGAAATCCTGGAGGAGAGCTTGCCAGCTGTTGGCGAAGGCAACTACGAGGCACCACGTCTTGAGTGGCTTTCTTACAAGTCGCTTGCGGAGACCTTGCGGACATACGATGAGCAAGAACCCAGCTCCAGCCAATTCGAACGTAACAGAGCAGATGGCACTCTATTCCTGAACGCCACAGGGACTGAGTCTCGGTTCACTATTGCTGTGGAAGAGCTCTACGGCAAGATTGACGCTTTGAAACACTGGCAGTCCTTGGCTGGCTATCTGCTTTTTGATCATTCCTCGAATCGCTCGAACGGAGTCGGCAACGATCCCGTGTCGCAGCTGAAGCATGAATCTGTTCTCACCGAGGCTGAGGAGCTCATCCTCTTAGAAGTGCTCAATGCTACCGTGAAACGCTCGTTTAGCGATTTGGCTGAAGAGCATGCCACACACAAGGGCAAGCTTACTAAAAAGCAGAAGGAGGACATGCAGGAAGAGCTGGAAGAGGCTATTCGTAATCTGACCGAGTTGATCCCAAAGCTGCTCAAGAAGTTTGGCGATACTCCCAGCACTGCTGCAGCAGTCATCCGATTGGAAGGCGTACTTGCCCTGCCTGCACTAAGGAGTCAGCGACATGATGCTGCAGTGAACGGCGCTCTTCTCGATGACCTTCGAAAGCAGTTCATGTCTCATGGCTCAGACGAAGTGCTCGGACCGGCCACCGCTGCGATCCTTCATGCTCAGTCTTATGGTGATCTCGATGAAAGTGCATTGGAGAAAGTGTCAAGCCTGTGGGAAGATGTTGTCAGCAACTTGGCTGAGTTGCTGAACATCGAGACCCTCACCGTGCGCGGAGCATCTACCCAGGAAGAACTGGTCGCGCTTAGCAACAACCTGTTACGCATTGTACGACTTGCGACGGTTTCGAATTGCATTGCACCCCTCGAGGATAGCAATGTCGCCGCCGAGAACAAAGCCTCTGGCAAAAAGTGGAACGGCGCAATAGATTTCATCATCGATCTTATCGAACGTGCCCAGCATTCTACAGGCCCATCGCCAGACCCAGAGGAAGCTGCGCTGGAAGACCTTGTCGCTGCTCGAGCTGCAGAGGCGTCGCTTTTCTACTTTCGCTGGAAGTTCTTGATCCTTGTCGATGCCATCAGATCTCGCTCCAAAACACAACTTTCATTCGACAAGCTTGAACCTCTCGCTGAGCGAAGAGACGCGTTCATGGACCAAATGGTGAAGGTGCTCGATGGCCGAAAAGCCAACGAAGAAGTGTGCTTTGTCATGAGTCGGAGTCTCCTTGACCTGTACATCTCCGCAGCAGTCCTGCGTACTGAGGAAGTGAAGACAGGTGTCCCAGACGACTTCACCGTATTAATCATGGAGTTGGAACCGGAACATCAAAGAGCCGTCTTGAAGGTCTTTGGCGCCTTGGAGAAGGACTTTGCCCGCCTCAGCGGCAAGACGCTTGATAAGCCTGCCCAAGAGGACGAAGATGTGGATGTCGACGCTGACCCCATCGACGATGATCCCCTGTCTGAACCCGATGATGACGAGGACGATGCCGATACCCAAGCTTCACAGCAAGCGCGCGATGCCAGACTCGCCAAGCCATTGATTGCTGAGCAGAAGCTGTGCCAGCTGACCAGCAAAATCATTCATGCCCTTATTGCCGGTGTCATTGAGGATCAAAGTACCCGCAAGAGGTTGGTGCGTAACAAGACCAAGCTGGGCGCTAACTTCAAGGCTGTGCTCGAGTATCTCAACGCATCGACTCTGGAGAAGAAGCAGGCCAAGGCGAAGGCCAAATCTAAAGGCAATACAAACCCGGCTGCTGCAGCAAATACGAAGAAGGGCAAAGTCAACCCAAAGAGCAATGCGATTGTGGCTGAAGACGAAGTTGATGACGAGATCGAGGACGACGATGACCATGAAGCAGAGCCGGAAGAGCCAATGGATCACGCCAATGGATCTCCCGCGGCGGCAGAGGAGGTGGAAAGTGTTGTAGGCGACTAGAGGGATGCCCGCTGAGCGGCATAGTGCTTTTCACGATACCCTTTCGCTGTGTCGACGCATCGTCATCAAGCATTTACACGTCTGCTTCGGGCCATATGAGCCATGTATAGAAACGAAACGAGCGAACAAGGATAATGAGATTCTGCAGTTGCTTCAATTTACATGCCTTTTCTACAGCTTCGTGACCAGTATCGACAGATGGGTATCTTACGCTTCGAATAGTAGTATCTCGTACATCCAAGATCCATCATCTATCAACATCATCACCACCACCACCACCACCACCACCCCCCTTTCTCTCACAACAGTCCACGCGTCCTCGCCATCCAATTCTGCACAGCAGCGCCTTTCAAATCATCCACATTGAGCATATCCGCACCTTCCTTCATCAATACATGCCAGATGTAATTTCGCAGATGTATAGGCCAGCCCGGTGTATCCCAATACCTGGCTTTCAGCCCTCGACGTTGGGCCCCCCGAATCTGTCCTCTGATGATGTGCATTTGCCTCGGAGTCAAGCGTCCGCGCCACACGAACCCCACGGTTTTCATGAAGGATACACTCGCGTAATAGGAATTGGTCGTGTTGAAATCGTCGGCCGAAGTCACCTGGCCTGTACCAACGTTTCCTTGACCTTCGCCGAATGCGATTGGGGAGGCGAGGGGTCGTGGTTGATCATCTTCTGTCCGAGCCGGTTCCCACATTTTGTCGAGGGGAGCGTCGAAGAAGATGTCTCTTCGTTTTTCGGAGACGACCATGTCGAAGGGTGTGTTGCCAGTGCCCACGACAGTCACTGCACGTTTCTGAACCCCGTTTCCATCGTGGTATGTGAGATAGTCCTTTTCTCTCAGCGCCTCGAGGTGCTTGTGGACGTATGGATACGTATCTCGACCATTGGTCTTGAAGTCGACTAGGAGCACGAGAGACTGATTCGGATCCTCGTCGAAAACCCCATGGCCAGTCGTATTGGGGCTAAATGGTGAGTTTGGATTCATCCTGTCCAGCAGGTCGACCAGGGGGTTGATGTAGAGATTTCGAAACGTTCGGTTCCGGGTTAAGGATGCTGTGTTGTGTCCCACGTACAATTCCTCGTCAAACAGCCACACATCGGCTTCGACGCCAGTACAGCCCCAATGGATCGCGTCGAACAAGGGGATCCGTCTCCAGTAATCATTGTGTGAATGGCACGGTATCGGGATTACATCTCGCGTGGCATCTGTTGGATAATGTGACAATCCGTATCCCGGTTCTCCTGGCTTGCCCCAATCTGGCATCCACTCGTCATCCACCTCGTTGTCCCAAAGTAATTGCCCTTGTCCTGAGAGCACGTGCAGGACATGCACAAGGCCACTCGAGAGAAGGTCAGTGTACATTCTTGGTCTGGAAAGCACGCACAACTCGAGCACTCACAAAAACATCAAAACAAGGACGGGCAAGGCCAAACACGCCCGTCGCAAAAGCCCAGCAACATACACCCTTCGACCGCGTTGGACCTCTCGTGGCGGCGATATCCTCTTGAGTCTCAGCAAGCCATGGGCAGATGCGTCTCCGGGCGAGGAAAAATAGTCGAATGATGCTTTTCGTCTCCGAACGGTCATTCCAAAAATCTGCACGAACCTCCCCACCAGACTCCGCCGTCTGTCTCTATTATTGTTCGAAGAAGGAGAGAAGTCTGGTGCGACATGGTCTTGCTCGTCATCGCCAAATGACGACGATGAGTGCCGGTAGTGGACGGGTAGGCAATCGCTTACGGCATCAAGCCCAGGTGGCTTTCCGCAGTCGTGAGAAGCCATTTCGCTGTTCCGCCGCGGCCGCGAACATGCAAGAAACACCAGGCGTAGCAGTAGCGAGTGAAGGGCTGAGATGGAGTGATGTCCAGCAAAGTGATGTTGGAGGCGGGTGGCTGGTCTCAGGGCCCCATACTTGCCGGCACGTTCATTAAGCACCGAGTTTGTTCTACCACTGAGTGTCTGTGCTCTGCTGGGTCCCGAACGAGCAGCGTTCAATGTTTGCTTGGTCGAACTCTGCGGTCGACGGTCGACGGTCGCGAAGGCTGGTCACGCTCTATTATTTACACATTCTTGCAGCAAAGCCTTCTCAACAGCAGCTCGTGCACCGCGCCATGTCACAACAGCACATGAGCATCGCCGTCCGCAGCTTTGATGTCCAGTGCATCCGGCGCCGTGGCCCTCGTGTTGACACTGCCCGAAGCTGATTGGACACTTTTACCGCACCTTGCACACTTCACTACGTTCCCTGGACCACAAAGCCAAGCTCTAGTAGTCCTGTGAGTGACTACATTATCACAAAGCTAACTTAATCCTACTTCGGGGGCCTCCTGTTGAATAAGGCAGACGATTTGCAGGTACGATTTGGAGATCCCACCGATTCTAGTTTGACTACAAATTCCCTCCCGGCAATCCTGCGTCCTACCAGTGCTTCCAGCCCTATACATTGTATTGTGATGATTGTTATTCAGGAGACAGATGTCAAGGTTGCAACCGAGCTCCCGCAATACCTTAGAACCCTACCCGTGCTCATCAATGACATCGCGTACAACCGTGCTCTCTGTATGGCGCAACGCCGTGGGTTGGCATAAGATCGGACTGACCATGACCCCGCTCTAGCCCCAGTGCACATTGATGATTGCAGAAGAGGCATTGTGAGTCACATATCATATTTAGCCCAAGTCACCAGTGAGGATGCGCTTGTTGGTTCTCGCAGCTAGCAACCATTCTTTTAGCAAGGACTCATACTGCTTGAACGCTATCACATAATTCGTGTCGCATGCTGTGAGTTGCCATTGGTGTCTGCTCAATGGCGGTGAAAAAATTGCTCCATGCAAATGCGCCCCACCATCGTCCGGCCAGAGGTGCTCAGCTCGTGTGCCTCGAGCTCTTTGCCTTCCTCTCAGACCAAGCAGATGGTCCGTGTATTCATGTAATGTTGCGGTCTGTCAATCCGCGTGTCGATCCAGTCATCTCAGTGGCAATGTGCGCGTTCCAGACTATGAGAGTTCCATCGCATCGCCGCCGCCGCCTGGTCGCTTCTCCTCCTTGATCCACTCGACGAATTCATCAATCACACTCGGCCAACTGCTCTCCTCGTTCCAGAAACTAAGAGACTCGTCTTTCTTGCTCTGCTCCGCGAAGTTGAGAGTCTGCTTCCACAAGTCCTTGTTGACCGCTTTCTTCACCTTGCCTTCGTAGTACTCAAACCACCAATCTAACCAAGGTGTGTTCGCGGTAGACCACTCGAACGATGGTGCGGTTAAGACAACCCGCCAAAGCTCCATCGCCGTATCCATAGCAAGCGCTTTCTGCTTCTCTTGAAGTCCAAGCTGGAAGGTATGGTTGTAAACATTCTTGAACAAGTCCCGATCCGAAGGAAGCTGAGATTGGCGTTGTAGGACCAGGTTCCGGATTTTGGGCAGGCTATCGACTCCAGCGTCCGAGAGTCCGTCAATGAAGCCATCCCGTGTGATATTGCCGAGCGATGGAGACTGCACGAGCTCGGAGAACACGACGGCGCCTACGCCAGCCAGATCGATATTCAGCTCGTTGAGAAGCGTGCTCGTGCCTTGGGGGCCGATCTCGTCGGGGCTATGCTGGACATCGTCGCGGTACTTGTCGAAAATCTTGCTCAGTGCCGAGCGGTGCGGGTTAGAAGTGGCGTTCGGGTTGTTGAAGTAACTGTTGTATAAGCGATTCATGTTAGTTGATTGTACGAGACAGCTTGGTCATCCCGGCGGCCAAGAAGTGTGCCCGGAATGCTGACCCCTCATTCCGTGACCTTTAAGCTACTCCAGCACCTGACTCTTGCTGTATACAGATTTCTATGATCACCAAAGGTGCAGAGCTACCTCTTGCGACGTGAGGTTTGCAGGGAGACGTGGGGTGGAGAGATGGTGACTTACGAGTTGACAGCTGCACCGACGTTCCAGTTGGCCTGCTTCAGGAACTTTGCGGCTGTGGTCTTGTCGGACTGCGTGACACTGACGAATTCCGATATGGCGCTCTTCTGCTGTGCAGTATGTGCTGGCGGCATCTTGAGTCAGATTGCGGACTTTCTGGTTGTAAGAGACGAAACGCGGCGAGTGTCGCAGGCAGAAGGGTTTGGTGGCAGAGGGAGGATTCCAAGGGCAGAGATGTGGGAATCGTCTCTCGCAGAGAGGTAAGAAATGCAAATGAATGTGCAGGTGCTGAGGGAGATGCAGATGCCGGTTGGGCGCAGGGTCATTCGAGTCGCAAAGTGACGGCAGATTGCATGTGTATGTATGCATGTTCGCCGGCCTGCCCCGCAGAGCCGCAGCATGGCGGGGAAGGCTCGGTTGTATACAGGAAGTCGGACAAGAAACGGATGCACTCACCGGGCGGTTTGCCAGCTTTGGCCTTCCTGGCCTTTTTGGGTGGCGGTGAGTTCATGGTCTCCGTGGGCGACACAGCGTCAGCCTTGCGTTTCATGCCCTTGAGGTGGATGTTTGTGCAGCGAGTGTCTGAGGTGTAAGTGGAAAAGGAAGCACTGAAGCGCGTGTGCGGTGGTGGAAGGCGAACGAGGCAGCCAAGCGAGGTGGTTATTGTCCGTCAACAATAGAGACAGTGAATGCGCTGGACTGCGCGCGTGCAGCCGTGAAGCAATTGTCACCAGATCAAGGGTTCAGGTGAAGTTGCAGGTGGTGATCGAGCGCTGCCCAAGCACGCGACCAATGAGAGCAGGAACGTGGCAAGGCATCGGCTACTGCCTGCCATGTGAGAAAGACCGCCATCAGCATGGGCATGGGCATGGGCATGGGCATGGGCATTCTGGCTCGACTTATACAGCGCCTCTATCTTCACACTTGACCGTGACACATTACAATCTCATCAGCCCCCCAGAATCTATACACCGACGAATCAAAACCTCTGCTCACAACACTTCTGATACATCTGGTATGTTCCTCTCCTCCTAGGGATAGTGCACAATGAGACTGCGCCGATCTAACGACGCCGACCCGACGCTATGCTCGCCCTTGGTCAGACTCACCGCCGAATCTGGGTATCGAGCAACGAGATTGTCCCGTGGACATTTAAAGTCGTATGTCAGGTCCAGCAAGCCACCCGGCAATCGCTGCGAAAACTAATCTCCAAGCGGCATGCTTTCCACCGTGTCGACCATGGCCCGAAAATTGTCGGCATGCAGCTCTGCATACTTGACTCGTTCTTGCGCCCAGTCCTGATGCAGTCGAGATATCCGGTATTGTAGTGTCTGGAAGAATTGAATCTCATCGCGGACGCACTCTTTGATGAACACGCCGCGCGCATGCTGCTCAACTATGGATTGCTTGTCCTGCAGGGTTTTAGTAACTCGACAAAGAACAATCCAGCTTGTTTTGTCTTACCGCAGTGATCGCGTTGCCGACCTTTTCAGCTTCGCCGGGCTTTGCCGCCTCCCCCTTTGCGTGAATGTTTTGCAGCTTTTGCTCGTTTTGCTGGATTCGCTTCTCCAGTTGCGGGATGTTATCTTTTGAATGCCGATCGCGACGATCGAACATATCACGCATGCTGACCAACGAATCTCTCACGGTCTTGAGGTCTTCCAGGAAGCCCTCATCCCAAGCCCGTGCTTCATCCTCGAGAAGAGCTTGAGTTGTAGCGATATGCTTGGCAGTGCCATTGATGCCCTCGTTCAGAAGAGGCACGTCGTTCTGATCCATCGCATAAGTGTCGTTGGTGACTTCGGTCACGCGAACCAAGTTGAGGTTGAGACGGCCATGTTCGACAGCGATAGCCTCTTTCCGTTTGCAGAGCCTTTCCACTAGCGTACAGAGATAGATATAGAGCTCGGAACTCCTGCGTACACCGGAGCGAACGGTGTCAAAGGTATCAGAGAGATTTTGCGGCAGGCTATCCTCGAGAGTAGGGGGAAGAGCACGTCCGGCGAATTCTTCTTGTACACTGATAGTGGCCTGCTTTCTCCACACAGCGAGCTCCTATTTCAAGAATTAGCAATGATTTCTCTGATGGGAGAAAGACGTGCATCTACCGTTGGAACAGTCAGGAACATGATAACCAGTTGTTCCTCCCTCAGTACCGGATGACGGACGAGCGCGTTGGCGAATCGCGCAAGCCCACGCCTTCTCTTCTCGATGAATGAGTTGTCGGCAGCGATGTGATTGCCGTTAATAGCTACACGCTTTGGCGGCAATAACGGGAGTTGACGGAAAGGGTATCGTTTGTGTAGGCAGTCCAGCAGCCAGACAAAGTCACTGTATCTGCGGATGACCTTGCTGTTGCGCCTCACGGATGCGACTTCGTAATTTCGATGTTGGAACATGAACATGCCTTCTTTCTCCTCAAGGACGTTGACAGTCACCAGTTCGTCTGGACCGCCTTTGCTGACTATTGGCCGAGGCTGCGGCTGACGACGTGGTTCACTCGGGCCGTTGCTATCCTCACCGAAGCCACTGCCGGCTGCACCGTCAGTGGCACTGCCAAAACCACCAGCAGTAGTAGCAGCAGCATAGGATGTCGCAGCACCCCAGCTGCCGCCACTACTGCTCACCGCTGTAGTTTGACCTTCGCCGTAGCCGCCGTCAATGTCGCCAGGCTCAGATGCACCAGTCGTGAAGTTACTGGTCGTTCGCTGCCCAGCTCCAGAGCCATTGAGATGTTTATGACCTTTGTGCATTTCTGGACTTCCCCATGGATCGCTATCAAATCCAGCACCAAACGATGGCTTTCGGACATCGCCTTTCGGTCCAGGCGAGGCTTGAGCGCCCGACTGGACGTCGGCCTGCGACGTAGCCGCTGTTTGGCTCATAGTCTTGGGCTGTAGATTGGGTATGTTGGGCACTGGCAGCTTGGTCCTTCGTTCATCAACAGCGTCAAGACCAAGCTCTTCTCCCTCTTTCGCAAGCCCGATTAATGCCAAGAAGACGTTGAATTCGTTTCGCCCCAGCTGTTCGATGTCTCCGCCGCTCGAAACAATGCTCCAAATCTTGGACTGATCCGCCGAGCTGATGCCGCTGTCTCTCACTAATCGCTGGCAGTCGTCGCGCTTGACGCTACCTGCGGTTTGGAGTGTATCGAAGGTATCAATGTACAAGTCGGGCACGTCTGCGTCAGCAAGAAGCGACTTTACCAGATCTCCTCGACCGGCGCTCTTCTTGCTGGGCGTGAAAGCCCAGCCGGCGCTATCGTTGGGCGAGCTGTCGGCGAAGAGCGACGACGAGCCTGCCTTTGGCTTGCTCGGATTCGATGGTTCGTCGTCGAAAAGGTTGGAGGTCGAGCGTGCGGCAGGCGGATCGTCGTCGCCAAAAAGGCTCATGGCAGGCGGAGGGACAGATGCAATGCGAGGCAGAGATGGAGCTGCAGGGATTCTGGTCGCTTCGCTGCAGCAGTGTGTATCGCGTTCGGGCGACACTGCGACAGATGTTGGTTGGATGAGCTTGCCGCGTGTGATCGTCAGCACCCAGCGCCGTCTACCTTGTTCCGTTCGAGGCATCCCGTTCAAGGCATCCCGGCAGACACAGGCAATGTCAGGCTTAGTAGGTAGCTAGCTCGCACGCTTTTTGTGTATCAATATTAGCACATCCGGACGGCGGTGGAAGAATGGACGGCAGCGTGCTCGAAGCATGGCGACTGTCGGCAATGGCCCCGTGTCAGGCACAGGCACAGGCACAGGCAGCGTCGCGCGGAAGAGAAAGAGGCCCAAGGTTCCTAGTGAGCAGCGGCAAAGGGCCAGCGTGGCGTGCTCCAGCTGTCGCCGGCTCAAGGAGAAATGCGATGGCCGTGTTCCGTGTGAGCGATGCCTCAAGTACGGGCGACACTGCCAAAGTGCATCCTCCTCCGAAGCACGCTCGCAAGCCACTGCCACTGCGCACTCCAAGGACGCCGAAGGCGCGTCGCAGGAACGCACCAGGCATCTGGAGTATATCGCCCGTCACTTTCTGGGCGACATTTCACTCTCCGACGAACGCTTGCGAAGGATCGTGTCCAACCTGCAGGCCGAGCAGACCGCTGCAGTCTCTCACAAGCGTGCCGACGACGACAGTGCGCCGGCGCCGGCGCTGGATGGCGAGAACTTCACCGTCATGAGTGTTGACTCCAACACCGCCCACTATTCGGGAGAGTTCTCGCACTGGACCTTTTCCCAACGCCTGAAACAACAGGTTGATAAGCGCCTGCGAGAGGCCAGTCTGGATGTCCGAATGAGCGCTCCCGTCGAATACTGGCGCGCTCACCACCTCAGGTCAAAGAACTCCAGCATGAGAAATATCCTGCAGAGTCTGCCGCCCAACGACGTCGCCATTTTTCTCGCCCGCATCTATTTCCAGTATGCCCAGACGAACACGTTTTTCGTCGAAGAAGCTTGGGTCCTCCAGAGGCTGGAGGCCTTGTATATCCCACGAGCTGTGCTCTCTGCCGACGACTCGACTTGGATCTGTAGCACTTTGATGGTTCTGGCCGTGGGCAGCCAGTTTGCTCACATGCAGGATGCACCAACGACTAGCGTCAATGCTGCCAGCTTTGAGTCGGCTGCAGACGCCGTAGGCATTTCCTTCTACCAGATGGCTGCAGAGCTCATACCTGACATCATTGCCGAGGCGTCGGTCAACAGCGTCCAGGCTTTTCTGCTACTCGCACACTACACCCTGCCACTGGACACTTATGGACTGGCCTACACCTACTTGGGCCTTGCCCTGAAAATGGCCATCCAGAATGGCATGCATCGGAAGTATACTGGAAATGATTTAGATGTGATGACTGTAGAATTTCGCAATAGGCTCTGGTGGACAACCTATAGGCTTGAGAAGCGGATTGGAATCCTGCATGGTCGGCCTACATCCATCTCCTCGAGCGAGATTGACGCAGAGTATCCCTCCGACCGATCTGTCAGCCTGACCGCAGAAGCTTCATCTAATAGGATCCTAGAAAATGCTTCCACAAAGCTGACAGATTGGCTCGGCGACATCGCATTCGTGATACACATGATCCGAAGGAGTCCAAATCGGCTGCGCCGCGCTTATCTAGAACGTCTGCTACAAGTCCGTCAGCAATATTTGGGCTGGTGGGCCAACCAATCTGCTTCGGTGGCAGGACCCACTCGTTCTGTCGCTCACTTGACCTTGTGTCATCATCTCAATCTGGTATTTCTGGGCCGCCCTTTCATGTTCAATGAGAAACGCACGACTACTAAATCCGCGTTGACAAGCAAGCAAGCTTCAGAGGAAAAATTCGCATCCCAGCTAGAGGGTTTAGCAAAAGATGCTGTGGAGTCTGCAGACCAAATCGTGGCCGTCTGTCAAGCACTCGATACGAGCGTTGGTCTCGCTCGAGCAAGCTATATCGAGTTCAGCTCATGTCGCGCTGCGGTACTGGTTCTACTGGCTGCATGTCTGAATGAGTCGTCAAAGGAGCTCCGAGAGTCTCTTGCTCGAGGCATGGGTTGCATCAAAGCAATGTCGACCGCCAACCTGTCGACACGGTCGGAAGCGTCCATTCTAGCGGCAATCGAAGCCGCCATATCGCGCCTTGACAATCGCAGAAATTCGGACAAAAATTCGGACACCGACGAAACTCTTAGTACTTTCAGGACGTGGGCTGCTAAATTTCAACCTACATCCGTTGAGCACATAGATCCAAACCTCGATCCAGCTGCCAATTTCCTGTCATCTGAGGCCGATGACAATTTCGATACCTTCGATTGGGATATGTTGGAGGGCGGGTCCATAGACTTCGGAGACCTGGCGCTTCATCATTTTGATGAAGCATTCAGCATTGCTACCGGGCCTTAAGAAGACAACGTCCATTTTCTCCCCGCTGAAAGGCCTGGTTGATGAAAGTATGCCAGCTGCCCAGCCTTTCAGCCGAAGATGAGATTAAGCATCTTTTGCTTGATATCCCAGCTCTGCTGCTTCACATTTCCATCTTGCGCGAGCATCTCTGCGCTGACTCTATCCTGCTCATCGAATACGAAAGCTGCAATCGACTTCGCCGGGCTTCACAAGCTTTGTTCCATACCAGAGCTGGCGGAAATTGGCATAAGTGTCTTGCAATTATATCGCGAGTCAAGGTGGTTCCAATGCTTACCTTGTACACAATGAGGTCGAAGAAGAAAAGTGGCGCACCAAGATAGTTGGCAAAGAAGGTCTTGACGCTTCCTTTCTCGCCGAAAGGAGCGACGCTGAGGTAGAACTCATACGCCAGGATAAAGACGATGATAAGAATGCCAAGATACCTATGGACTTTCAGGGCATTGGACGACTTGTTCTCACTCGCAGCCACTCACTGGACATATGGAGCGAATGGCGCCTTGCTAGGCAATCCTCGATAGTCAATATGCTGTGCCCGCAGAGCAGCTCTGAAGAAGCAGTGTGTGATGAACAACGAGCCCCCTTGGAAGAATGCGGCGATTGCGACCTGCGAGTGCGAAAAGTCAGCAAAGTATCGCAGTGGCTGGCTTTCCCCTTACCAGGCTCGAGAACCAGGAGTACACAGTATACGCCGTGTCATTACAATTGAGATAGCAGAGGCCACCGCCGATAGCCACGCTGATTGCTAGTGCGACCCGAGGACGTCCGGCCTTATCTTTTCTGCCAAATACGTGATGGATGAGCTTGATGTCTGACAGGGCAGTCAAACTCCGACTGGCAATGTAAACGCTCGTGATCCCACAGCTAATAACGCCGATGAAGACAAAAGCGTTCAATCCATGCGCTAGCCAGCCTTGCTTGGCTCTGCGCACTGCAATGACGAATGGTGAGCCGAGAGTTCCAGATGCACTCACAAGATCCGCGTCGTTGAAAGGCACGCACATCCCGACAAGCCAGATATTGAGCACAAAGAAGCAGAACATTCGCCAGAAGATTGGCCATACAGTGGCTTTCACCGTTCTCCTGGGCTCCTTTGCCTCGCCTGCGATGATGGCGATATGCTCTCCTCCACCAAAAGAGAATCCGGCCTGCACAAACGCTTTGGCAATGCCTTTGATGCCGTTATTGAAAGCACCTGGATTTTTCCAGTATGTGAAAACGAGTGGCCCATTGGTAGCCGCAACGCCTCCGCTAGCCATGATAAACAAGAAGAAGATCATGACAATGATTGCAAGGATCTTCACCCATGAAAACCAGTACTCGATATGGCCGTATATTCGCACTGGGAACATCTTGCCACAGCGAGGAATATGGTGATGTATGCAGCAAGTGGCACGGCGTTTGTCTCTGGCCAGAATTGCAGAACGGAAATTGCGGCCGTGATTTCAGCCGGAATAATCATAACCCATTCGAACCTGGTGTAAGAATTGATCGACCAGCAGCGCAGCGACTCGCAAGCAATATTCCTTACCAGAAGTTGATGCCACATGCGAAACCGAAAGCTGGGTCAACATATTCAGCTTCCTGCCGAATAAAGCCACCGTGTACGGGCCTGTATGCTGTCATCTCGCCAATCGACATGCACTGTAGCCATACGACAAAGGCTACAATGGTATACGCAACGGCGATGCCGCCTGGTCCAGCAAATTTCAGCGCAGTCCCGGTTCCAACCCACAGGCCTATTCCGATGCCTGTAATCCATGAGTTCTCACAGCATTCTTTCTCACGATGAGTGCTCACAAACCGGCTCCGAAAGTCATCATCATTATCTGTCGTTTCGAAAGCCTCCTATAATACCCGGCATCATCCACGCCCGAGGTGACGATGGTTGTCTCGCCACGCTGGTAGGTGGGTGGTCTCTCAAGGTCGGCATCTTTGTCGCTCTGCGGTGCAAGCTGCTCTGCCCTCTTCTCGCTGTCCATGGCGTGCAGCTCGGTTTGTCAACAATGTCGAAGATTGAACCATGCACGCAACTGCTGCATCGCGTCGCAAACAGCGAGACTTCATGGTTCTTATAACGTCTCCTTTCTCCACTGCCATGTTGATAGTCGTGATGAGACAGTGTCGCCGCATTTCATACCGATGTAATTGCAGACGAGATCGTCTACTGAAAAGGCTCGGCTACGCTATATGCGAGATCGGGCCACATTTCAACCGGCCCGGGGAAGCTGTAGCCAGGATAGCTTGGCCGTGGAAGCTGTTTTGGGTGAGGAGGCTGGATGGGCTTCCAACCTCAATGCAAGTGACTCAACTACAACAGTGACTCTTGGATACTCTACGCAGAAGTATAAGATTGATACTTGTCACAGCTGTCGCAAGACTTTAAGCCGAACTCCTGGCTTCTTCGTCACCCATCATGGCTTCGTCAGAAAAGAATGTTGTTTTCGACGTCGTAGGAACCCTAGTGGGATATGAGGTGCTCAATGAGGCGATCGACAAACGGATGGGAGATCGCCTGCGTGCAGAAGGCATCAATCCAAGCTTCCTGGGTTATACATGGATCGAGGTTGCGGAACGAGAGTATACATACCTATCGATGAGCGGGAAATATGTCACGTTTGCGGGTTGTTTTGAACAACTCTTCTGGAGAATATTATTGTGAGTTTAGAGCTGGATGATGAAAATACGATTACTTATGAGGCGAACAGCAAAGCCGGGATTGCGAATGCTCGAGACTTTGCATCGGCGGAGGATGTGAACTATATCATGGAAGAGGGATACCTGAAACTCGAATTACGTCCTGGTGCTAGTGAGTGGATTACCTCCTGTCCCGTCGATAGATTGAGCCTCACTGACACGTAATTTAGAGGAATGCATACAGAAACTCCGCGATGCTGGCTTCACTGTACGAGCATTCACGATGGGTGATCTGAAGAGGGTCAGCGCCTATTTCAAGAACGCAGGAGTCGAGCTCCCAGCAGAGCATCTCATGTCTTGCGATACAGCTGCAGTTGGCAAACCGGATCCTGCAGCATACAAGCCTGTGCTCGAAGCTTTGAGCAAATCTGGAAGCCAACCACCGTGGTTTGCAGCAGCACATTGTGAGTTTCATTGCATAGATTGTGAAGACAAGAGACAGCTACTGACTCTTTACAGTATGGGATGCCAGTGCAGCCAAGAGGAGTGGCTTCAAGGGAGCCTATTGTACCGTCTACGAAGGAGAAGAGTTGCCAGACCTGTTCGGCAAGATGGACGTCGTAGCCGATACTTTACCTGATATGGCCGACAAGATTATTGCTGCATCTCAATAGGAAGACGTTTACAACTGCGCCTACGGCCATATATCACGTCTTCCATCAGCTTTCCTGCGTTATTCCACGTGAACGATATCCTACCGAATTGAGGCTAATCCACTGGCCGATAGGCCAAGAGTTGCGCCGGGCCGGGATTTGTTCGCTCTCGCCATTCGTGCCCTGCGCTTCAACATAAGCGTTGAGACTACACAAACCTCCCCAACTCCATAGTCTTGATGAGGGACCTCAGCTTTCAAAATGGCCCAATATCCTGTCCCGAACTCGACGCTCTCATTCTGGAGAACCGAGCTTCACGACTTCGACAATCACAGGACGACTGAGCAGCTTCCAGCCGAAGTCGACATTGTCATAATCGGAGCTGGATTTGCTGGAGCTTCGATAGCATATCATCTGCTTGAGAAGAGTAAAGAATCAGGCAAAAATGTATCGATGGCCATTCTTGAAGCAAGAGAGGCATGTTCTGGTGCCACAGGACGAAATGGTGAGTTCAAGAACGTGATTGACGTTGACTGCAATGACTAATGCCATTCTCCAGGTGGCCACCTCAAACCAGATCCGTACTATCGGGCAGCAGGTGAGATTGCCAGAGCATAATTTCCTACATGTTCTTGTCTAACTAACATCATGTCACAGGTGCGCTTCGGAAATACGGCAGAGATGCTGCCGAAGAAGTATCTTCGTTCGAGCAAAGACATGTCAAAGCCATCAAAGAATTGGTCGAGAAGGAGAACATCGATTGTGATTTCGTCGTCACCCGAGCTACTGACGTATGTCTGTACGAGGACATTCGAAAAGAGCTCAAATCTGGTCTAGAGGCACTCACAGCAGCCAAGATATCGAGTGCAGCGGAAGTTCATTACAGTGATGGAAGAACAGCTGAAGGCGTAAGCGTTCGAAAATAATCAACGTTTCGTTGCTGCTGAGCTGATATGTCAAACAGATCTCCGGAGTCAAGGGCGCCAAAGGCTGTTTCACCTACACAGCAGGCCACGTCTGGCCTTACAAGCTGGTTCTTTCCCTGCTTTCGAAGGTCGTATCCCGAGGTGTCAATCTTCAGACTCACACGCCTGTGAAGTCTGCAAGGTCAATAAAAGACCAGCGGCGTCCCTGGTCAGTTGAAACAGATCGCGGGTCTGTCAAAGCGTCCAAAGTCATCTACGCAACTAATGCGTACACGTCAACCCTCCTACCAGACTTCAAAAAGAAGATCATTCCTGTGCGCGGAATATGTAGCCGCATTGTACCAACCAAGACTCATGCACCATTCCTATCAAACAGCTATATCTTGCGCTTGAGTCCAATGGAATACGACTACCTCATCCCGCGTAGCGATGGGAGCATAGTCGTTGGCGGAGGGCGTAGGGATTTCTTCCGCGATCTGGACCAATGGTATGACAACATCGACGACTCCAAGCTGATCGAGCCCGCCAAGAACTACTTCGACGGGTACATGCAGAGACATTTCCGAGGTTGGGAGGATAGCGGCGCCTATACAGACAAGGTCTGGAGTGGAATCATGGGATATTCGAGCGATGGCTTTCCACATGTCGGCGAAGTTCCTGGAAAGCCGGGCGCATACGTCTGTGCTGGTTTCTCCGGACATGGCATGCCGCAGATCTTCTTGTCAGGTAAAGCGATTGCTGAAATGGTGCTTGATGATAAGAAGGCGGAGGAGGTGGATCTTCCTAGGTTGTACAGAGCATCCCAGGCCAGGCTGGATGCGAAGGGCGATGTAACGCTTGATGCATGGACAGCACTGTCTGGAAGTAGCGCACAGGCCAAGTTGTAGCCTAGGGAACTGACGGCCAGGACCTTGAGCAGCTGAAAATGTAATTTGCCATCAGTCATGCCAGTAATGTTCCTCTGTGCAATCTCAAGAAGCCGCGACCAAAGCCTCAAAGAACTCAGAAGTATCTGCTGCACCTTCCACGTCGACCCTTCTGCCATTGAAGTCGAAGGTAGGCACGGAAGTGACACCATTCTGTCTCGAACGAGCCGCCATTGCATCTACCTCTTCCGTCAGCTCTCCAGATTTTAGGAACGCCAAAACCTCATCCTTGTCTAGGCCAGCAGAAACGGCAGCCTTGGCCATGTCGTTGTGCGAAGTGATATCAGCATCATGCTCCATATGAGCAGAATAGATTTGCTCGAGCAATGCTTTCTGCGCACCGAGGCCTTTCGTGCGTCGGACCTGCTGCAGAAGCCGATGGGAATCACGAGTATTGCCAACGCGATTGTTGAACTTGAACTGTATCACATTCTGTCGACCCACACGTTGCAGCCGTGTCCGAATGGCATTGACTCTCTCCTCGCCATTTTTGTCTGCGACTCTTTCCTCCCAGGGTATGCCCTCGGCCGGAGCGTCTGGGTTGAGGTAGTACGGGAGGTATTCAAACACGAATTCTTTATTGCTGCCACCAGGATAGGTCTTTCGGTATAGCTCGATGGCTCGATCGAGGGATTTGTGTCCGATGTAGCACCACGGGCAAATCTGAACTCGGTCAGCACTTTCTACTGTCTTTGGCATGCCGCCTTCGTTACTGACAGTGTCTGTGTAGACTGTGATATTGAAGACGCCCATGTTTGACAGAAGTTTGAACCGTTTGTTAGTCGCCGATGCCTAAGCTATTGCTCTCGCTTTTGTAGTCAGTACAGTGACCGCCTGGAATCCATCGTGTCGTCGACGCGTCTTCAGCTCTATACTCCTGAAGCGGAGGCGGAATGTCTACTGGGTCCGCTCTGTACACGCAGCTCTCAGTTCACATAAGGTCGCTCAATCCTTCGAGTGGCATTCCCTGAGGGGTTTGGAGGTTTAAATGGGTTTAATTCGACTCCATACACTCGGCACGCGAAGAGCTCAGTAGCGGGCGCGACTATTCGTAAATCAGCTCCGGCTATTCATAAACTAGGAAGTGTTGTGGACCACTATCGCGTTCCAAGACTGGCAGCTTGCAATGTATTTGTTTTGATTACTAATGTCAGACCGCTGCACTAGTGCGCCCGTTTACTAGCGTCTTACGCCGCGACAAAAGATCGGAAGTATCCGCGCTTAATAAGCACAGATCTCGGGCGCACTTATAGGCTAGAAGTTACGTGAGTCTTGGCGCCAAGCCTTAGCCTGCACCTCTGGACTCTGATACGCGCTTCCCTCTTCTTAGCTGCGGCCCCCGCAGCCTATGACGTCATACCCCGCACCCGAACATGCAGCCGGGCAACGTCTTCTTGGCATACCCCGCACCCGAACATGCAGCTAGGCAACGCCTTGGCATACCCCACACTCGAGGCAGCCAATCAAACAACTGTCGCAATCTGAACTTGCACAGGTGTAGCGACGTTTTTCAACTGCCTATAAGTCGACCCCTCCAAGGCAGGTGCGCCTGCAGCAGAGTCGCGCGCCTGAGGCAATCAGGGGGTGTCTGTATTCTGGCACCGCCAAGGCCGCACGTGCCTTCGGAAGTACGCGGTTCCTAACAATTATAACGAAACGTACCCATTTCTAGCTCTTCTTTAGGAATAGCGTAGCACCGCTAGCACCGCTAGTACCGCTAGCACCTGCTATCGCCGCCGCCGGCACTAGTTTAAAATGAAGCTAAAGTGTTAGTAAGGCATTAATAGTATAGCAAAATATAGGTATTATTAACGCGCTCTTGCTTGTCTATCTATCTACCTTGCTATCGCTATTATCGCACTCGCTCTACCTGCTCTTCTAATGCCTTATTAGTTAGCGCCTATAGTAGCCGTCTATCGTAGTACTCTTACGCGCCTGTCTATAGATTATAGTATAGATTAAAGCGGCGGTTCTACTATTATACGTCCGCGTTAGGCGGTAGTCGAATTAGTATATTCTACGGAAGGTTCTCGGACTAACTGTCGCTAGTTATTAAGTGTCGCAAACGGCTCGGAGTAGACGGTTTAAAGGGCGTAGATAGCGGCATTTTACGTAGGTATCGAGTAAGTAAGTAGTCTTTAGTCTTCGGCGCGTACGGACTAATATATTAGACGTTGTTGCCGCCGGCGGTAGATTGTAGGCCGTTTAGTACCTGCGTAGTATATTAAGTCGCAAAGAAGGGTTATAACGAGAATAATAGCGCCGTACGTCGCATTACTAGAGCGTATAGGTATACTAATAACGATAATCGGTCCGCTTAATAACGACATTAATAGGAGAGCCTTGCTTACTGTCCTAATATATATTAACGACTAAGCTAACCTTGTAATAGTCGTTAGTAGCAAACTCGGGTTTATAATAACTACTACCGCCTTCTACGCTCTTCTTCTTATCCGCCGCTACTATCCGTTTCGACTTAATATAACGATAATATGCCTTCGATAGGTATCTACCGCTAGTACGATTAGGCTTTACCTTAGTAACCTTGTTACGACTATATACATTAGATATTAGCTTTATAGCGATAAGGAAATCGTCGTACGGTATAGCAACGTCCTTCTTAGCAAGAAACAGCCTCTCTCGAATAGCCTTAAAGCTATTATAGCTTCTAGGCGCCGGTTCTTCTATTAGCGCGATAGTAGTAGAGGCGATAAGGTATTAGTTGTTTCGATAATTCCTAAAATTATGCCCCGAACACATACAAAATCGTAGGTCTTAGCGGGCCTATACAAACGTTATTAATTACGGGTCCTCTACGAAGCGAGTTAAGCGAGATTTAGCGAGGTGCTAGTATATAGACACCTTAATTAGGCGCCTCCGAAGCCGCGTCTACCGAGGATTAGCCTAGTCGGCTAATAAGCGTACGCCGACTCGCCGAGAATCGAACGTACGACCGTTAAACCTATAGACCGTTAAGCGCGGATACTATATCAGACCGCTGCACTAGTGCGCCCGTTTACTAGCGTCTTACGCCGCGACAAAAGATCAGAAGTATCCGCGCTTAATAAGCACAGATCTCGGGCGCACTTATAGGCTAGAAGTTATATAAGTCTTAGCCCTAAGCCTTAGCCTACACCTCTAGACTCTAATAACTAATCGTATATATATCTCGACTACCGAGGCTAGCAAACTTCGATAGCTAAAGGCTCTTAGACTCTATAACTATAGGCCTAGGTATGTTTATATTATATATAATATAGCTATCTATAAGGTTCTAGGAATACGATACTAGTTTTAGAGAATATTATAATTTTAGTTTCTATATATATCTATGCCCTAGTTTATAAAGGAAAATTTACTAATCTTACAATTCTTAATTATAGTTATGCTTTTTTAAGTTATATAGTAGTTTGTTCTAGCTATAGTATATAGTTTAGTAGGGCTTAGTATAAGTACTAGTATCTAAGTAGTAGTTTGCTGCTAGTCTAGACGCGCGCTATTAATTCCCTTAGACTCTTAGTTAGTAGGCTTTAAATATTTAGTTAGAAAACGAAATATATCTATAGCAAATACTAAGTACTACTTAGCTAATTACTATAGTAAGAGAGAATAGGACTTTAGCTATATACTAAAATAGCGATTTAGACTTTAGTAGTAAATTTACTAGTAGTAAAAGTTATTAACCTTAGCTTAAAATATATAGATAGATAGATATTTCATTTGCCTATTGTAGTGCCTTTCGGCCTATGTAGGTCTGTTTCTATATATTGTTTTAGGTAGGAAACTAACTTAGTTAGTAAAAACCTCCCTCCTGTCCTATTTATAAGTGTTGATCTTCTTTGTTTCCTTGTTCTCCTTCCTCTAGGGTATACTAGTATTATAGTTGTTACCCTCTAACTACCTTGCCTACTACCCTGCCCTTCTTTCCCCCTCTTCTTCCCTCCTTCTTATCTACTCTTTAGTTTCCCTTGCTAATACGAATTGTTATATAAATCCCTATTTAATAATCTACTTTACTATCCTCTTTAGGTCTTCTTTGCTCTAGATTAGCTTATCGTATTCCCTTTCTATTACTTTTTGTCTCTAATCGCTTCTGCCTTCTAACTATTAAGGGCAGACTAGCAGCATATGCTTAGGGTTCTGAGATTGGTAGCTATATTAGTAAGCCCTGCTTTTAATTCCTAGGACGTTTCTTCTAAATAGGTAAGATCTGAATCTAATGTATTCAGATCTGATTTAGATAGCTAGGCTTGCCTCGGCCCTGTTTAGGTCCTTATAGAGCTAGTAGTTATATTGACTAAATTTGATTAGTGCCTTTAGGGTTCCTAGTCTAACTTGTGTTTTATTCTATTCCTACTCCTATAGGTATCTAGCAATTGATTCTACTAGGCTTTATTTCTCTCCCTTTAGCTTATCTTCCTTTAGCCTTATATTTAGTCCCTAAAGCTCTTTTTCTAGTATTTCTCTTGTTAAGACTCTATATTGCTCTAGGTCTTTGACTTTCTAAGGAGTCATTTGTAGTCTGTCTCGCCTCCTAGTCCTAATACACTAGGCTTTTATCTTGTCTAGTGCCTTTTAGATAGTCTATTAGGCTAGGTATTCTATTGTCTTTGCTGTATATTAGTGTCTTAGTCCCTTGAAGTATTGTTTAACTAGTAGGATCCCTAATTCTATCTCTACTACCCTTGTTAGTATAGTTTTGTATGCTCCTAGGATTTTCTTTAGGCTTTGGGTTTGGGACCTGCTAACTAGTTGCTTAATCCTCTTTAGTATCTTCTCCTAGGCTGTCTATATCTATGCTCTATATAGCATTGCTAGCTTAACAATTGCTTTGTATATAACTTTAGCTTTCTCGAATGTAGCCCCCTATATAGAGGCTATAAGCCTATTAATGGATTATATATTAGTATCTGCCCTCTGCTTTGCCTTCTTTATTTATAGTCCCTAATTTAGTTTTAGATCTAGCTAGATCCCTAGTACCCTAAGCTCTACTAATAGTTGGGTTTTAAAGCCTTAGATAGTGATTAATTGCTTTATATTGTAGGTTAATTTAGCCTTGCTAAAGTGGATAAGCTAGTACTTTTCTAAGGCGAATTTTGCTCTATGCCTCCTTGCCTATTTTTTATACTCCTAGTGCTTCTCTTCTAGGATCTTATAGTTGGTTTCTATTGTCTTAGACTAGGCTAGGATATTTGTGTTATCTATAAACCCTAATGCTAATATGTTTTTTAATTCTAGGAGTGGGAGTAGGTCTGCTACAAAGATAAGGAAAAGGATTAGGGAGAGTATTAATCCTTAAGGGATTCCCTTTTTAGTTAGTATTGGGTCTGATTTGAATTTACCTAGAATGAGCTATATTAATCTTTCCTGCAGGAAGGACTAGATAAATTAGACTATCTAGTTTAGTGTAGCTTTCTGTTTAAGTATATATAGGAGCCTTTCGTAGGATATATTGTTAAAGGCTCCTAAGATATTAAGGGAGAGGAGGGTTGCTACCTAGTTTTGACTATAGTGCTAGATATACTTGATCTGTTTTATAATTAGTTCTATAGCTATTAGTGTTAACCTCTTCTTTCTTCCTCCTATCTAGCCTTTAGGAAGGATGTTCCTTTCCTCGGTAAAGGTTATTAGCCTTTTAGCGACAATTTTTTCTAGCACCTTGCCTATTGTATTAAGTAGGGCTATTGGTCTATAGGCCTTAAGCTGTATATAGTCTTCCTTCTAGGGCTTCCTTAGTACTACTGTTAGGGACTTCCTAAATAGTCTTAGGTAGTGTCCTAGTGCTAGGCTTTGTAAAAAGATATTAGCGAGTACTAGGGCTAGCCCCTTCCTGTATACTTTTAGAAGTTTATTGTAGATCTTGTCTTCTCCTAGTGCCTTATTGCCTAGAATTTTCTTTAGGATCCTTTTAATAGTTTCGGGTTTAACCTAGGTGTCTCTTAGTATACCTAGTAGTAGAGTCTCTTATTCTTCCTCCTTTATATCTAATAGGTCTGCTTATACTTTTCTATAGAAGAAGTGTTAGCCTAGGGCTCTTACTTTCCCTTCTATTATAGTCTGCATTTGTCCTTATTAGT